ATCGGAGTGGTTCATCGGCCGTCCATCTTCTTGCATCGGCTGCCGTCACAGGATGATCAAACCGCAGATTTTCATCTTCGAAGCCGAGTAAACTTCCTTTCTCAAAAAATAAAGATGGCATTCCATATGCCGCTTTCACCACATCCATCATAGTTGCCCCCACTGGAACCTTTAATGGTAGATACAGGCCATTATAGTCAGCGACAAACACTTAAAGTTTGTATTCTCTGGGTTCACTGATATAGCTGCTGAAAGAAGTGGCAGTTTTGAAGATGAAAGAAGTGTTCCATTGCTCATGCTTTCTTTTAGTAAGTCGGACAATGATCAACCACTTTTCGTTTTTTGCCGCATCTCAAGAACATGATACTCTCTCAAATCGACGATGTGACTAAAAGCCAAAGATTACAAAGTCCATCACTTCCTTTCAATCATGTGACCACTATATCAAAGGAAGAGTAATCCAAGGAAATATGAAGCGTCTGGTACATGCTCGCAGCTTTATCGATATAATTTGGCTTCGTACTGAAGTCTCGTGGAGCACCACGACCGTATTCGTACATTATACCAAGATGAAACCTAGCATGCTTATTATCCATTTTAGCAGCATCCTGAAATAACTTTACTGCACGAATCACGTCTTCACTCACACCCCAACCTTCATTATACAGTCTAAATACAAGCGTAATAAGTCTACAGTATAAGACACTCAATTATATAGATACCAATGTGGCTAGCATCCATGTTGCTTCAGAGTGACCTCGTGCAGTACATTTTGTGAGTCACGATGCACCTAATGTGTCACTGCGGATTACGCCTTCTCCGCGCAGGTAGAGCACGCCTAGAGCAAACTCCGCATCACGATGTCCAAGATCGGCTGCTCTATTCAGCAATTTTACAGCAGCTTCCACATTTAAATCAACTACGTGACCGTAGAATTACATCATGGCAAGGAGGCTAAGCGGCCTGGGTTGTATGTTGAACACCATAAAGTATTTTCTGCATTGTATTTTCCTCGATTGGAGATCCTCATGGTATCATGCTCTTTCAAATCATTCCGAGCGATAGAAAATATACAATAGGCTTCATCTGTAGTCGCAACGAGCAATAGAAGCGTCACCAGTCTCTTGAAGTTCATCCTTGCAAATCTCACGTATAAAGATCGAATTTAATTTTCATCCAATGCCATCTCTACATCACTTTGTTTTATTATTTTGACATTTCTACCAAATTATTACTCTGCATGTCATCAAATGTCCTCATAGCTGATGAGACCAGTTTACTCAAGTCTATTGAACTTGAGAAGAACGAACAGTGCATCATATCATGTCCCGACCACCCACAAGCACAATCTCGAGGTATTCAGCGATTTTGTTGGTGCGCAGACGAGATCAAGACCGTCGATTCTCAACGCAATGTGGTGCTGGCACGCGCTGACTGTGTCGTAGAGAGTTACGAGGCCTCTCACAGCAATAATCCCAGCAACACTGGAAATCTAGTTTGGTCTTGGCCAGCTCCAGACAATACTCAAAGAATGGCACGGTGCGTAGGAATAGACTTCATTTAAACATCTAGCTCTATAGTGCAGTGCTCCGACACAGGTGATGTAATAGTTCACAGCAGATTGGAGAGAGATAATCCATTATCATTTTATGTTGACGGTGGAATTCACGTGATGCATCTTGAACCTGAAGTGCAGTCTTGTATTGGTGTCGGCGGTAAGGAGCATGACCTGAATTTGTGGTCGTTAAAGACCCAGCAAGTTTTGTTTAAAGACAAAAATGTATCACATGACAAGTTAGACATGCGTGTACACGTTTGGATCAAACACTTGCGTTTTTTTATCTTCTGGTACAAGCAATGGCCACCGCGTTATCGTCGGAAACGCTTACGGTCAAATTCGAAACTCCGACTCGAACACAAAGCGGAGACCTGTGCAACAGCTCGATAATTTTGGAGAAAATTCGATTCAGTCGCCTTGCATATCACCAGATGAGACCCAAGTTTATATTAAATAATCTGGACTTACGTACTTTGAAGCATTTGGGCCGATGCACAGGACCAGTCGGATCCATTCGGGACATTGCGTGCCACCTGACGCTTCCATACAGCAGTTTGCCTTGATCGTATGGTGCACGTCTTTGATGCACGTACAGGCACAAAGTTTATGAAAAGCAACGATTGAAAACGGACGGTGTAAAAGATCTTCCTAAGGGTAGATGAGCCGTCACAGAAGAGACTCAAGTCAGGTGACGATGATTTGTCACTTGATGATGATGATGACGATGACATGGAAGAGGAAGCGTATGAAGGTCTCTTTCAGAAGTGTATAAGCCGTCCTAGTCGACATGTTTGCGCATACGCCAGACTGCGAGATGATCATCGTCTTTGATCGTGTCGAAGCAGGAATTTAGAACAGACCTGCGCGATGTAAGCTTTGATAATGAATATTTACTTTGGTATTTAAATTATATATATGACGGAATGGGTGATAGTCTCAACACTTGTGTCGCTTCTAGAACACATGACACGGATACATGGCAGTCGATCGTCGACAATTGCTAGATGTTAAGCAATCTCGTCGTAATGACCAGTCCTTTGATCACTATACTATTACCTTGGAGTTGTGTTCGAATAGCCACTAGACAATTATACCATTAAGTACTTCTTGGATTGATTTAGTATTAGGACCGCATAATGTCACAGCATCTCAACTATAAAAGCGATAAATTTTTAATGCTTGATGTGTATATTTTTGATACTAAAATAGTCTCTCGATAGCAAAGAATTTAGCGCCTACATCCTCAATTAGCATGATGATCAAACTGACATCACTAGGTCTTTTTCCTACAAATGGTCGACTTTGAAACCAGCACGCAGCGAGTTTGCGATAATTTATTTGCTTCTTTGACAACTACGATGAAGACACTTTCACATCTCACGTCAAGTTAACAAAATAAAGTATCTATATCCATTAACACGATGACACTGAAAACAACTATATTTTCTTGCTTATTGACATAACATTACCACACCATATCTCTTCCACCTCATTTCACTACCACACAATATTTTCATTTTTGCCATTGCGATCAAAATTTCTGTCATAGTGACAATGATTTGTCCACATTGTAAAACCAAAATTGGCGGCGCTAAAAAGAAGACTTGTAAGTCTTCTTAATAAATAAAGTCTTCTTGTTGGTGCCGCCAATTTTGGTTTTACAATGTGGACAAATCATTGTCACCATACGATCCATCCGTTGTGCTTTGCTGCAAATTTTGAAACTTTGTTCCTATAGCTTGGTCTCTGCAATTTTCATGAGATTAACATGTTTTGTCTCTCTATCCACAATACATAAGATGTGTCAATATGTACATTTCACTAATAGATGCTTGTTCTTACCTTGTACTTCAATCGGAGTGGTTTATCGGCCGTCCATCTTCTTGCATCGGCTGCCGTCACAGGATGATTCAACCGCGAATTTACATCTTCAAAGCCGAGAAAGTCTCCTTTCTTAAACGAGGGCATTTCATATGCGGCATCCACCAAATCTGTCATTGTTGTTCCCACTGGAACCTTTAATAGCAATGCGACGCCATTAAAGTCAGCGACAAACACTTCGACAGTATTTTCTGGGTTCACTAATGTAGCTGCTGGAAGAAGTGGCTGTTCTGAAGATGATGGGATTGCTCCATATCTCATGCTTTCTTGAAATCTATTGACTCTATAGTAAGTCGGACAATGATCAATCACTTTTCGTTTTTTGCCGCATCTCAAGAACATCATACCCTCTCAAATCGACGATGTGTTTAAAGCCAACGGTTACAAATCCATCACTTTCCTTCAATCATGTGACCACTATATCCACAGGACCACAGGACACCATGTAGACTGAAAGATAGTGATGTATTTACTTATCTATAAACATCATGTAGCCATAACTCAATGAGGATTTAGAGACTTAGCGAAAACGTTTTCGTTGAAGCGATTTGAGTGTGGACGAGATTGCACGGCAGTTTTAAAGGACAAATCGAAGTCCAAATTATTAACTAAAGAGGATTAAACATGATGAGAAGTTTGATGCTGTGTGAGTATCTCACAATTGAGAGATGCAACAATTTGTTTCGAGGATTAAAGTTAGTGGACCAGCATCGGAATCATCGATGATATTTTTGAATAAGAAGAAGGAACGAAGCGCAGAAAATTTGGGTCTAAGTACTGGAATGAGACTTGAAAGCATTGAGTATCTAAAACTTTTCAACCATTTTTATCACGTGCACCATTCGACATCCTCAACAGAGAGATTGCTGAGGAGTCGTGCCATGTCGACTTAGTTTGCCGTGTGCTTGCGTGCTTGCGCAGGTTGCTGGCAAGGGCAAGCCATATCCTCAAGTGTTTTTGGAGCAAATGCACTGACCGATTTGCAATGGCTTTAAGTTTTTGCAAAACATCTCTGCCCGTATGCCACGTTCCCAAATGACGCACATCAAAAAGATAATTTTATCAGCGCCAAAGACACACCTGTCTATATTGGCGAAAAATGCACTTAAGCGCATACACTCGAGTACTGTTCGCAAGTGTAGAATGTGGTTTCTACCTCTAACGTTCTGTACTAAGCATGAGTACAACGGCGAAATAAATATCTTGCATAGGCTCGATGTGGCCTAAACAGCTGTGTTACCTGATGATTCAGCATGGCTGGTGCTTTTTATAGTCCCTGTGGCCCCTTCAAAGAATCCCGCTTGGAATACTGAGCGATCTAATATCTCACGAGCAGTCGATGACATTCATCAAGCAGGTCAAAGGCACTTAACACACTATAACCGATCACACTTTTGTGAAGTACATTCTTTGAAAAATTGAAGTTGCGCCGATTCATGGCTGTGCAATGCTTAGTGAACTCAATGATTGACCCATCGATGACGGATGGAGATGAGCTTTGCTTCCCCTCCGGCACCAACTGTACCATTTTGATAACTCACTCAATTGTCTACGAAGGATAAATTTATATTTGAATTTGTTGCTTTTCCATGGGACTGTCTAGAACGGAGCTCTTTATATTCGAAGAAGTGATTTCTATTTTAGATATGCGCAAATCTAAAAATGACACTCGTGACGAATTAAGATATTCTCGTTCATGTACCAAGACATTGCGAAACTTCTTACGAAGGCATCATGAAGTCGTTAGACAATCTACATTACGATGGGGACAGTGGACGCGAAGTAATGGATGTCGCTCTTCAGCGTAAGCATCAAGCAAGCAATCCACCGGCTTCCAATCAGAAGATTTACCCTGTTGAAAAGGATGACAAGAGTCTGAGCAAATTCAACAACTTGCCCGAAACTACGGCTACCTCAAGAACAAAATTGATTTTGCTTCGAGCAATTGTTGGAATGGCAGTGTGTGCATGTCTTGGATGGACATTGTGGCTCATACTGTTGAATGTCGCACCAAACGACACGGTCAATCGAGTCATGAACACTGAAAATTTCGACTATGGCTCGTTTTGGCTTATGGTAGATCCATCAAAAACAATGGTAGGATTTGCCACATTTGGACTATCCGTTGTTGCTATTGGGTACATTGGGGTTTTGATCAAAATGATCACAAGTCATCGCAGCTCAAAGTCGCACTATGTCGTTTCTCAATCGAAAAACAAGAATTTGATGGACAAGTTCGAAAAAGCACTTCAAAATACGATCGATAATAGAACGGGTAGCAGAGTAACTTCTGCCACTGCCAAATTTGCCTCGTCACTTATTCGTAAGGACAGTGCGGCTGGAAAACGTGTTGTACGAGGATTTTTTTCTATGTAAACAATTTGCAAGCCTACTGACTTTTTACTGTTACGCAGAAACTACTTTTAAAGTTTGGAGACTTGTTCTTGGAGACACTTCTTCTTTATCAGATGCTTGAGGGCGGCTCCCCCGCGCCTCTTATCGCTATTTTTACGCTTGTAGTTGCAATGAATGCGCTATCCTGTGCTGCAATGATGTATGTACCGCACGAACGTGCTCCACTTGCAGAAACTATGATCGACATTTTGTAAGTCTTGCTGAATTTTATAACAATTAGTACGTACTGACATGAAATGAGTAGGTTTGACTTCCTTATTATCGTTGGGTGCCCTATGCTCGTGATTGTATACTGCCTTTCTAGCTTTACTTTTGACCGTGCCAAGTTTGCTATCAATCTTGAGGTCTTTCCTATTGGATGGTTTGAACAAGGAGCTAGTGTGATTGCAGACGCTGAACAAATTGGAGTAATCTACGAAAGCCTGAAATCGCTGCGTATTACGACGCCTCTTAACCTTTTTTCACGTATTGGAGTCAACATAACACTATGTATTCGGCTGTGGAAGCTAGTGGATAATCATCTTTTTGCGGCATCTCTTTCTCAAGAAAGTAGTGTGTATCCTAAACGCCATCATTTTGGAGCGGCTTTTCTTCTTCTTTATGCCTTGATGCTGGTTATATTTGTCGAAGAGTGTATGCGAACATCCTCTCTAGCCTGCCAGTCTCACCCAGAGTGTGTAGTAAACGCACGTCGGTGGACTATTTTGGAGAACAACTCATTGACGCAATGTCCATGTTTGATGTTGATTGACCGGGATGTTGCTCCGAAGACTTATGCAGAATGGGAAAACCCGATAAATGTTACCGACAAAGTAGCTCAATTAGCCTCTACAGGAGACCTCCACACACTCCAACTGACCAATCGCTATATGGCTGACTTTCCTGATGAGCTTCGACGGTGTAAAGGATTAAGGCATTTGTACGTGCTATCTTATAGTGATAGATCAATAATAAACTAATGTTTCATGGTGTTTGTCACAGAACGCTGGAATATACCCACACTCAGACTTTCCCACCGTGGATGAAAGAATTTAAGAAACTTGAGTTTTTGTAAGTTTTACGCTTTGATTACAATGCAGCACAAAGGTTAATTGTATATATGGTGGCAGACACGTGGAGAGCAAATTTACAAGTCCCATGGTGGTTTTGCCTGATGATATGTTCGACGATATGTCGTCTCTCACTGCCATTCACCTTGCAGCATTCATTCCCATGGCGAAGCTTCCTTCGTTTGAAGGACTTACAAATCTCAAGTCACTCACGCTGGCAGTTTTCTTACTCCTTGAAGAGATTCCGTCGTTTGACACTCTTCATAATCTTGAGAGACTGGTGTTGTCTTGCGTCCCAGCAATCAGTGGGTTGCCAGATTTTTCTCCGATTAGAAATCTCAAGTCGTTTGCTTCTTCGGATCGAGGAGCATGGTGCTGTAATGGATTCCTTGGGAATTGCGATCTC